GGAGGAGTCTGAGATGGGGTGGTTGCGAGGCGCCTAGCGCGAGGGACGGCGGTACGTACGTGACGGGGTGATGGCGCGCGCGCAGCCGGTGGATACGTGCTGCGACGGATGCAGGGTGTGAGCTGGGCGGCGGAGAGCCCGCCCTGAAGCAGGCGAGGATAAAAGGGGGCGGAGGTGGAGGCAGGGCCCGGACACTCATCCCCATCCTGGCTCCTCCTGTCCCTCCGCCTCCGCCTTGTGCTCGCCGCCGCGCGCGGGACGGCGTCGACGAGGGTGTCTGCGCCGCCGGGTCCACGCCACGAAGACGGTGCGAGGGAGAGACGTCGAGGTCAGTGCACGCAGCGTCGGAGTAACCTAGCTTGAGACTCACCAGTGTGCATACAGGGAGACAGACATCGCCGCTACGGCGCAGAGGTCTGCAGGCAGGGGTTGGGACGGCGCAGAAGGGAGCGAGCAGAGAGGTCGCCGTACCGTTCCTTGTACGTAGTAGACAGTGCCTCGACCCCGACGGCGCACGGGCTGAGTGTTGGCGAGCTGCTGTCCGCACCGCCGACGCGAACGCCGCGTTGCCAGACACGACGTGGCGGACCGTCACTTGCGGTACGCGAGACACAGGACGCTCTAGCATGCGGCACGGTGAGTCCCTCGCATCGTCGAGCATGCATATGAACCGCTGACCTCGTCGCTGAAGCTGGCGGAGTGGTTCTGCACGCCAACCTCTCTGACCCCGATGTTCGCCCGGGGACGTCTGATCTACGGTACGCATAGGTGAGCATCGCGGTCTAAAAGTGGTGCGTGAGGCAAGATGGCTTACCTGCACGGCACCCAGGGACCCACGGCCGTCGCTGCGGCACACAGGTCGCAGCCAGATACGCGGGCGGGGCGGGAAGGTGAATTACGAATTCTAGGTACCGTAGCCGTTCTGTGCCCCCGTGCTCCTCGTTCCCCATCCATTATGGCGCAGGGAGATGATGCGCCGTGCAGAGCAGGGCGGCGCGGTGTGCTCGCGGTAAGTGCGGGGCAGGCGGCGCGGATGGCGCTCATGGTGGTCCCCACGCGGGCGTCCGTCCTGTTGCGGTCCGTGTTCGCACATACGTTGCGAACGCGTCGCGGAATGGGTCCGTCGACGCGTGGGCAAAGCGGTTCCGCCGTCTTGCCCAAGTCTATAGCGTGAATTTCGTTTTAAGTGTCCGTAGCGAATGAAATACGCCGAAATTCATGTTTTCCGATGTCCTCCGATGGCGCTCGAACGTGCTGCACACGTGCGGCTTAGCCCGTGGAACCGTTACGCCGCAATTTGAAGGACGCCGTGCGTGGCGTTGGCGCGAGGGGAGGGCGACATGTCGGTCTTCTCCGCCACATTTGCCCGGTCTATCCCGTCCGGACGCACACGCGCTCGACGGCGCGCCTTCGCGGCCAGGCACGGCGTGTGCACACGAGCGCCCTCGCGAGACGGCGCGTCCGTAGGACGCGAGGGCGTGGCTCTGTGGGGGATTTGCTGTCTCTGCCCCTGAGACGCCCATGAAATGCGTCGAAACGTCCCGAATATTTTCGCTCCGGATCGCGCCGCGACTTGGCGTGTGGGTTTGTTCTGGTGCATAGAACCGGCCGTCGAAGTTACAGAGCATCCGAGGGCGGCGTCGGAGCGCGATTCGATATTTTGTGCGGGGCGGCGGTGAACATCGTGGCTTGGGGGCGTAAACCCGCGCTTGGGGACTTGTGGGCGGTCGGAGACGACGGAGGGTGCCCACGAGAGTCGACGTGCCAAGCTGGGGTGCGGTACGATGTGTGGGCGTGGCAGGACGGCGATGTCGAGCTGACCGCTCTCCACGAAATGGCCACAGGGCGCCTGTTTCTGGTTCGATCGCGATGATATTCAGCGGCTATATGCGCGTCGGTGGAAAGATACGTGCCGTCGCATTATTGAAGCGGTCGGGTGGGTCGTGGAAGCGCAAGCCGGTGTCGTGTGTCGACGCGGGGTCGTCGGCGCGGCGGGATGCGACACGAGAGCCACGGGCGGAGCGTCTGGGAACGACAAGACGGCAGCAGAGGGCGCGGCGCACGTTCCGCAGAGCGATTAGATGCGCCCAGGAGCCGTGTGGTGGGCGGGTGTGACGAGGTGCGCGAACGGGAGAACGTGCGCGGGCGAGAGGCGGGAGGCGGCGATCCACGGGCGTCCAAGGTCGATGTGTGCTAGAGGAGTCTACAAGCGCAAGGGAGCACGAGTCGGGGGACGCAGGAAGCGTCGAGAGACGCCGGGGGAGGAGCTGTGGCAGGGTGTGTGCGAGACGCACCTGTAGAGGAGACGGTGAGCGTAAGTGCTGAGCGAATGCGCGGAACGTACCAGACGGGGGACTATGCGACGCAGGCCGCATGGACAGGACATGGCAGCGCCACAGGAGGGGACCGGTGTTGGGCGAGGACGGACAGAAGGCCGCTTGAATGGAGCGAGCAGCCCGGGTGAAGACGTCACCGTGCGGGCGTGATTCGAGCGCGGCGAAGGGAGACGCAGCGGGTCGCGAGCTGAGCGGACAGGCCGTGAGCCCGGCTTGAGGCCAGGGCAAGCAGAGGTGGGCCTGCGCTTGATTCGATGTATGCAGGACGATGGCAGTACGCGGACGCCACAGCGCCATGACGTCAGCAGCCAATCAGCGCACGCCCGCTGTTGCATCGGAGCTGCGTTATTGACAGCCCGCCACCCTCTCATGCTTTCGGAGTCTGGAGCGCGGAAACGCCGCCACACATTGGCGTCAGTGCGCGCCTAATAATTTGTTGCATTGCTCATCGCACCTCGACCTCACTCGCACACGCCTCCTCGGCCTCACTCTCCACGTCCTCGGCATACACGGTTCGTACCCTCGTCGTCTGGCGCGACGTGCTCAGCTCACAGACGCAGTCTCCCTCGCAGTCCCTCATGATGACCAACAACACGTCTGTCAATCCCTCGGAAGTCGGCTGGCAATTCGTTCCTCAGTACTACACCTTTGTCAACAAGCACCCCCACCGCCTCCACTGCTTCTACAACAAATCCTCCACTTTCATTCACGGTACTGAGGGCGAGGACGG